AGATTTAAATGCGATTTGAATAACCTGCTTCCTATGGTTTAGAAAAGACTTGGACATGTTGTTCTCCACTGTAGCCTTGGAAATTCCGTTGAGGAAATACTGTTACCACTTGGGAAGAACACATAGGTGAAGAGCTCCTGAAGGAGACGGCACGTGTAGCTGCATGCGTAATGTGGCTTACTGTAGCGGCGTTGCTGATCCCTAGAAGAGAATGTAGATACTAAAGGGAAATTAAAAGGAAAAGTATGGAGAAATGATTCCTTTGTGATGCTTTCTGATTCTCTGTCTCCTCTAGAATTTTCCCCTCCCTGGCAATGGAATGTGAAAAGGCATCATTATTTCTCCAGATTTTTCTCTCGTTCCTTTGCCAACTCCCCAAGTAGCTGCAACCCTCTGTAGTTTGGCAGTGAATTTTTCATAATTTTTTCTTCCAAAGTTTTAAAATGTATACAGTTCCGCTGTAGTCTCAGAAAACTGCTGATCTCCATGGGTTTGAAATTAGTAATGGTTGTGTCTGGCTTGTGGATTAACTTTTTTGTAATTGAGTCATATGAATAATGAAAAATCCAAGTATATCTTTTGAGGGACAAATAAAATTTTAGTTTGAAAAAATGTACCATGTTAGTGAATAGGTTTATTTTTTAATATGTTTGGAGCATTAATGTAGATAAGAAAAAACATAGTAAGATATTGTCATTAAAAAAATAGTAGTTAAAATACGTTTTAGAAAGAAGTTGTGTTCATTCCTAAATTCAGTGTATTCAGTGGGAGGCGATGTAGAAAATACACTTTTTTTTGAATGAAAGGAGTATTCTTATAAGTTCTTCATACACATGAAGACCACAGTATTGTGTCAGGTGTATTAATCAGGTATTTAGGACTTCGTCTTTTTACCCATAAAATATTGTTTAAGTAAAATCTACAAAATTTCAGGTTTTCTTATAGTACTCTCTTTAAACTGCTGTGACTTCAAAGAAAATACACAGATTATGACATCCCTTACATTACAGAACTGTAGCTGTGTGATAAACAACCTCTGCTAACCTGAGAGAAATAATGGTTTCCTTTTAAAAGGAAAAGCAGGAGTTGTAGGGGTGGAGGAAGAGGGATTATTGAGCAAGTTAATTAGAAACAGCCCAAGGGAAAGTTAGGAAATTAAAACCCATAGAATCAGCATGACGGCAGCTAAAAATACATTGTCACAAGATATGCTGAGGGTGGGGAGCGGCAGGAAGGCAAATAAAGAATTTGATTAAACAGCAAGAAATTTTTTCAGGTGTTTTGATTTCTACATTTCTTGTGACCCAGCCTCAGTAAAACCGTGGAGGAATAATTACACTTTGCGGATTTATGCTAACCTTTAGAATAAAGATTGCTGGAAAGTTAAATGTCCAAGGTTAATGTTTGCTACATCAGAAGAAAACACGCCATGGGAAAGCAAATGTGTGTGAGTGGTGTGTGACACGGGTTTTGCCTTTGAATGTAGAAAGTACTCGGATATCATTTTATAAGGAATGAAGACTCAAGAAAGGGAAAGTGAAAAAAATCATCGTAATAAATATAATCATAGTATTTATTTTCAGTAATAAATGATTGAGAAGTCATGGTGCATTGTCCTGGATGCTAATAGAAAGCTAAGATTATTATGAAGCAGATTTCAGCACCAGTTTATACGTTGAAGTTTATGTAGTTTTGAAAGTAAGATCTGTTAATCTATTCTAATGCTTTTTACTTAATAAAGTAGTATATAATGTTGATTTTTAATATTTCATTAAATGGCAAATGTCAACAAAAAGCTTCCCTCAGTTTTGGATGAGAATTTTGAGTCCACACATGCCAGAGCAAATGTCTAAAATATGTTACATCAGACACCCTGACTTTAAGACTGTGCACAGTAGCTGAATTTGTGGAAGTTAGGGGCATGCCTACGTGCTTACACATACATGAAGAAGTAAAATAAATCTATACAACTACAGCAAAAGTGTATATGGAGTACATATACCTGTGTGTTTTCCAAGACAATATAAAATAGGACATGGTTTGTGAACTGACAGGCCTCTTCAAAGATGTGAACTGTGTGGTTTGCTTGTGTGTCCAGTTCTGTCAGTTCTATGTGAGTGTTAGTTTCCAAATAATGACACTTAACTAAAGCGAGTGGATAGACTTTTTTAAAGAGCTTTACTATTTTGTATTATACCTCAGTAACATTACTTTTTAGAAGTGCCTAATGTAATGCATTAACATCCCATTGCCAGTGGTTAATAAAATGTTTGTTGTTAACATAGCTCATAGTAGTTTTCTCTTTCAGTATTCAGAATTATTAGTTAATATTGGGCCAACATTCTGATTTAACGGCTCCATTTCCTGTGAATTGAATTACACAGTCTGTCCTACAATGGTGGTGTGGATTCCTTGCATACAGAAGCTAACAAGTCAGTATGTGTGTTAAGTGATGAGACGCAGAAGCTGCAAAAAAGCTGTGTGCTTGTTGTAATGCAGTACATTTGGTGAAGTTCCTTTCATTATGTACTTTAAATAAATGAAACATTGAACTTTTTCCCCCCCAACTTTTTTTTCTTTAGAAGAAGTATTGATAGGTAGTGACTTCCTAAGGCAGAAAGCGTCATAGGGCAAAAGCACAAAAAAATTGTATTGCCTTGCTGGTGCTTTCACAGGTTCTTCATGCAAAGCGTGTATTCTTATGGTATGTTGGGTTCCCCACCTGTAAAACGAAAGAGGCATCTTAGCAAAGTTGCTGGTTATTTTCCTCACTGTTTTGTCTCTCCTGAATAGAAACAATTTTGTTTTAAACACCCAGTTCATTAAACAACATAGTTGCAGCTTAAATAACCTTTAAAAATACTTAGTTTTGTGGAGCATTCGTTTTTGCATGACTGAATGAGTATGAGCTTGTTTAGTAAACCATGGTACAGATTGTTTTAAATTTTAGTAAACCATGATACAGATTGTTTTAAATTTAAATCCAGAGACTGGATTTGGGAGGAACAACCCCATGCATCAGTACAGGCTTGGGGCGGACCTGCTGGAGAGCAGCTCTGCGGAGAGGGACCTGGGTGTCCTGGTGGACGACAGGTTAATCATGAGCCAGCAGTGGGCCCTGGCTGCCAAGAAGGACAGTGGGCTCCTGGGGTGCATCAAGAAGAGTGTGGCCAGTGGGACGAGGGAGGTTCTCCTTCTCCTCTACACTGCCCTGGTGAGGCCTCATCTGGAGTCCTGTGTCCAGTTCTGGGCTCCCCAGCCTGAAGAAGAGAAGGCTGCGAGGGGACCTTATAAATGCCTACAAATATCTGCAGGGTGGGTGTCAGGAGGATGGGGCCAAGTTCTTTTCAGTGGTGCCCAGTGACAGGACAAGGGGTAATGGGCACAAACTGAGGCACAGGAAGTTCCGTCTGAACATGAGGAGGAACTTCTTCTCTCTGAGGGTGACGGAGCACTGGAACAGGCTGCCCAGGGAGGTTGTGGAGTCTCCTTCTGTGAAGATATGCAAGACCCGCCTGGACAAGGTCCTGTGCAGCCTGCTGTAGGTGACTCTGCTTCGGCAGGAGGGTTGGACTAGATGACCCACAGAGGTCCCTTCCAACCCCTATCTTTCTGTGATTCTGTGACTGTGACTGAATTTAATTTTGACTATTTTGTGTCTTCTGTGCTTTTTTTCCTAAGCTAAGGCTAACAATTCTTATCATTTGTTTATCTCCCAATGTTTGAATTAACTGTCAACAGCACAAAATATTACGGTGTGTAGTGTGTTGTTGAGGCTACAGGTAGAGGAAAATACTGTGAAATTTACTTATATTGAATAGAGATTGCATTGCAGATTTCAGGCGGTCCACTTAAGCTCCTGAAAGACCTTTCGAAAGAAGCAGTGATTAATCCTTTTAATTATAAAGCCACAGGCAAGGCAGGCTGTTGTGTGCCTTAAGACAATATTCATCAAAATTAATATGCAGGCATTTCTACAAGTACCGTATGATCTTTCTCAGTAAGAACATTTTCACTGTTTTGTATGAGTTCTGTATGATTTGATTGTTAGGTAAAATGCATTACCAAACCTTTTTAGCACTTCATCTGAGTATAAAATTACTTGGCGATATATTTAGGAATACCTAGTGCTTCTAAGCATGTACCTTTTTTATGTCCCAAGGGAGGTTGTAAACCTGAGTCTGGAAAGCACTTTTTTTCCCTCCTTTTTTTTTTCCCCCTGCCTCTCCTCTGTGCTCGGGAGGTGAGAGGATGAGAAAGTTGTATTTTAACGTTTCTCCAGTTAACACTAAAGGTGTTAGTCTTCTTATTCTTGGAGGCCACTAGTTAAGGGCATAGACCGTTCTGTGGGCCGTGACTCAGATCCTTAAATCCACTGCCTCTAAGTCGCAAGGCCTAACGTGCAAATTTTAGGTTTTAACCACGTGTAAGCATGTGATGACTTGATGTGAGTCAAGTGGTTCGTATAGGAATTTAATCTTAGTTGTATGTGTAAATGTGCCTCCTTCTTTTGTCATCTCTGATACATACAGTGTAATTGTTCATGATGCTTTTCAGTAAAATGTGTTTTAATAAAATACAGAGGTTTCCGAATTGAATTTTTAGACTTTCATCTGCTTTTTAGTTTGCTTATGCCTTATAGCAAGTGCTGTTTCTTTATGTAGTTGTACCTTCTGCAACAACTTCTGATACTGCTATAATTATATGAAGTTGATACAGGCTGTTAGTGTAGGTCTGTAATGTGTAGCTGACTTGTCACAGCACATTTGGATCATGAGTTGTGTGTGACTGACTAGTTAGTTCAGGGTCTTACAAACATGGTTTTGGCTCCCAGTTGTTTTACATGCAATTAAAAAATCCATATTATTTCAGGCAAACTGGCCCTTTCCTGAGGTAATTCTTGGATTATTGTATGTCGGGATAGGGACAGGGCATGGTCTGAAAGTCTTGTTCCAGGTAAAACTTTTAACGTGATTCATGCAACTTCTTGTTTGTTGTAGCCCCACTACATATGTTTTGGATGAAGATGAGCCTCGCTTCCTCGAAGAAGTTGATTACAGTGCAGAGAGTAATGATGATCAAGACATTGAATTAGCTGATAATGAAGGTGATTACGAGGCAACTAATCAAGAAGATGCACTTTCAGACTCAGATTCAACAAGGGTACTCCTATCTTGAACTGTCTTTGCAGCCAGTACTAGGAAATTAAGTATCCTGGATTTTCATAGTCAAATACTTGCTCAATTTGTCTACCAAGGGGATAAGCTTAAGCAACCACAAATAACAGGGCCTGCCTAGCTCAAGGACAGTAAATATTTCTGCTTTCTGATAAATTGGCATTTGTTCTATTTAAGGAGTTCTGTGTTTTCTTTTAGCACTGAATAGATAAGTTTATTTACCATTTCATTTTCTACTAAATAGCACCGCATGGCATTTTGTGTCCTTAAACCCTGTCTTCAGAAGAATGAATTATAATCTGTGGTGTTTCAGAGTACAGAAACTAATTCTTTGTGGTACGGTTCTTTGAGCTGCTTCCTGAATAATATGTATGTACAGATTTTCTAAATTAATTTGTGTACGTGTGTGTATATGCGCGTGCGTATACTGAGGTGAAGAGGTTATTTTTCAACATTATTTCAAAGATACTTGATTGTGTTTGGAGTAATGTAGTGCCTGCTCTGGAACCATTCAATAATTACTAAATTAAAAGTGAAAAAGTGATGTATGAATTGTTGCACTTGTTTATTGCTTCTGAGGAATGTATGGTTTTGCCACAGTACTAGTTGAAAATATGTGTCGTCTGTTCACAGTTCAGGAATTTTGCACAGTGGCCAATGCAGCCTGTTCTACAAGAACTATACACTTGTATAAAAACCTTCCCCCTCTTTTTTACGTGTACGTGACTACAAGAAGTGATTAGATATGTACACTGTATGTACGTTCAGGTACCCAGGTGCTCAGTTTTTCTTGTTGAATATACACATAGTTAAAAAGAGTTCACTTTGCTAGGGGCACATTAGCTATATATACAATTCATAATGCTTTAAGAGGAAAGATGCATTTTGGTTTAAACATCTTTTGCCTTGTCTCAATGCAGTGTTAACCCTGCTCTGAGAAGGGGATTGGATTGCAAATTCCTGAGGTCTCTTCCAGCCTGAGTAGTTGTGATTCTGTATTCTTCATGTTTAAAGTCAAGCTGTCAGACATTGGATTTACACTTGTTCATCTTCTCCTGTCATCTGCTAATTCTTATGGCCTCTTGCCTGTGCTTAGAAGAAGATCGAATAGAGAAATGAAGTTGTACCCTGTTGTTTACAGAACTGACATGTTTTGCAATGAAAAATATTTTTCCAAAATTATTTTTACTTCATGCGACCTAATTGTGGCATTCATTTTCTGCTGCATGTGCTAGGGCTTGAAGAACATGAAGAACAGCACTTCTGAGTTACAGCAGGTTTTTAACTGGTGAGAACTGCGTATATGTCTACTGTTGCAAATAAAACTGTTTTGGAGAGGAAGGGTGCCTTTGGTAGAAGGATAAAAAAAAATTGAAGAGAATTAACTATAGCAATGATTCTCAGTCAGGAGATGGATTTTTGCCAGGATCTGCTGTTTCAAATGCAGTGTTGTTTGGTGGTGCCTGTCCATACCATCCTGATTTTGAAACTGGGGGAGGGTTTTTGGTCCCTGCTGATATGCTACTGTATTTTTGTTTAAGGCTTAAATTTGTATTAGTAATCATGCAGTTTTGAGGTGTAAGAGTAGAATGGAAACATTTACATTCTTGTCCCTTGATAAATTTCCCTCTCTAGCGAAAATTAGCGTTCCTTGTGTTCTGTGAACTACATACTGCAAATAAGGAAGTTTATTTAATATCCTGTTGAAGAGGAGCCATCTGCGTTGAAACTGTAGGGGAATTTGGGAATCTGCCAAACGGGACGATTAATCTTGCCACAATGTTTAAACTGTCTTTATGTCATCCCAACGAGAGAGTGCAGAATGCTCATATTGCTGTGTCAGTCTTACACTAGTTATCTGCATAAATAGGTCTTCATCCTCAATGACTCTTACTTCAGTATTTTATATAAATAATTTGACTTCAATTTCAGGTGATGCAGGATGGCACAGGTTGATTAACCCCATTGTGCATTTCGCCTTGGTTTTCGTATGAATCTGTGTTAATCCTGAAGCACCGTTGTCATACTACAGGCAAGACTAGAAATGTACTTCATCCATTCAGAAAGAATTGTGGCTTAGTAGTACAAAGTCGTCTCTTCATACAGAGTAAATACGCATGTGTGTTCTTCTCATGTCTCCTACAGCTTTTAGTCTGTGCAAAGGAGGAGTCATTCATGACTTCTATAATGGCTCAGGATAACCAGCACTTTACTAAAAGAATAATGTTGTGTTTATACGTTAGATTCCTAATGCACTTATGCATTAGGTTAGGTGTATGCATTTGATTAGATGAGATGTCTGTCTGGCAGTTGTGGGTCTGAACTTCTACCAATGCAGTTCCAATGCAAGAGTGAAACTTCGTCATTACCTTACACGTTGTTGAAAATGCGAAGGCCATTACTGCTTACATGTTTTGCGGCACTGCTTGGTGTGCCTTCTGAAAGGCAGAGTCTCCATTCGTGCTCACAGGGATGCCCGTTCTTGGATAGAGCTGCCACAGTGGTAGATGCTTCACGCTGTTATCCCCTTTTATCTGTTTTGGTGGGAAGTCCGGTGTTCAGCTGAAAATGGAATAGCTGAGGCTTGAGCACACGCTCCATTGTGTTACTGTGGCACCACCCCAAACAAGTGGGCAGAATGGATAGCAAAGAATGGCAGCTTCTTGAACTGTCACAAATCAGTCATCTAGCACGGCCTGCCCCAGACAGTTGACTGTCTTTATTTTAGGCGTTGGCATTCCAATGCGTATCTGATTTTAAAAGATGCTCTTTAAGCATGACTGTTTCTGTGTAGGAAAAGAAGATACTCTTAAATCTTTTTTCCAGTAATAACATCAAAAAAGATTATAAACAATAATTCCATCCGTGTTATTTACTGTCTTGCTTCTGAAGAATTGCTGGATGATCAGTTGCTTTATTCCCTTTCCAGGTATAATTCAAGTTGCAGCACAAATTTTAGTATTGTGTCTTCACTGGTGACGTCCCCTGGTGTAATGTAACTTAGAGCCAAGACTGTAGTTTGTGCCAAAATCTTGCGTGGTAGTTTTTGGAGGTGGATTGTTTTGTCAGCCTCAGTTCTCAGAGAGAACTGGTTAGAATCTCAAAGATGACCAGTAGTAGTAAACACTGTTCACAAAATGCAAAAATTCAACGTTTCAGATAGTTTTCTGTTGTAATGCTGTGATAGTTATAATTGTTGCAGTGTTATGCATGCCCCAAATAACAATACTTATTAATAAAAATACATAATAAAGAATTAATTACAATCACTTTGCTTCCCTATTATTGCTTAGAAATGTTTAAAGGATTTCTCATCATAGCATTTGCAACAGTGTACCTACATATAAGAACTGGGGTGTGCTTAGCATTTAACAAATGAGGATATTTTTGTTCACCATCAAGTTAAAGTCAGTGTGCTGCGGGCTGAAGAGTACCATTTGCATATTAATAGATTGAATTATAACTTTCTTAAAAAGCTTAATATTCATCATTGTATGTAAAACTTACGAAGACTTTGGATGAGCCACAATGAAGGCCATTGCGGAGCACACGGAAGAGTCTTTTGGCAAGAATCTTTCCCTCCTGTGCAGCTAACTGACGGTTCACCTGATGTAGGAAAGGCACAGATTTATTCTTCAGTAAGTTATCCCTTTACAGTGCAACTCACACTGCAGTTGAAGACTAAGTTATTCTTACTATTTGTATTTTTGCCGTACCAATTTTAAAATCTGAGCCAAGTTTTTGAGGGAAAGCTTAAAAGCAGATCTTCTGATTGTATGGAGGTGTCTGAAAAGAGCAAGTGATTACTAGGAATCATCAGTGTTACTTTTGCAAATACATATGCAGTTTACCTAACTACATGTGCCATGTTAGTTTAAGTTCAACAACTTCCTTCACAAGCTCTGTTGTCCAAACTGTTGTAGGGTGTAGAAGAGTCACAGCGACTCTTAAATTTGTCTAAGGATGTATTTCTTTGATCTTAATGTTTCTAAGGTTGTCAGGATGTAAACCATTTGAGATGTGACCTTGCATCTTATTTGCTTAAATAAACTAACTGGAGATTGCTTTGAAAGAAGGTCTTCAAAATATGAAGTGCTGAACAGCTTGGACACCTAGTAAAGGATACATTATCTTAAATTATGGATGGCTTGGCTATTTTTAGTAGTATCATATAGAGAATTTGTTTAATTCCTGTAAAATACTTCATAACTATGAGCACACCCCCTTAGTTCTTCTCTTATTAGAAAAAGTTAGGTGCAATTATTTTTTTTTTTTTTTTGTAAAAAAGCATAATATTGTTACTACAGCTTTTGAACCAGTTCAAAAAGAATCATTGCTGCAAATTACGGGTTTAGCAACAAAGGAAACAGCACACCATAGGATCTGTTGATCCAAATTATGTGGTTACCAAATGCCAACCAGCTGCTGGTTTTTGATGCCTGTGCAGCATTCTTACCATGAGATGTTTTTGCTTAGTGTGTGCCCTTCTTTCTTGGAATGGGGTTATGTAGCATGCATCATTTTTCATGGCAGATTGGAAGAATACGTACTTACGCTAGCAGCACTACACAGCACTACTGTAGTTTTTCACTGGGCTAAATGCTAAATAATGAAACAACCTGACTAACAAAATTCCACAATACTAAGTCCATACATGAAACACCGCTGTTAATGTGGAGTGGGGAGGTTGACTTACAGTGACCTGAAATAGGACTCTTTTTCACACTGTCACTCCAGACTTGCAAAGGTAAGATAATAAACATACCAAAGAATGTCCACAATTCACTACAGACTAAGAACTTTTTTCAAAACCCCAGACTACACTTACCCATCTTTTGTCCCACTCACTTCAAAAGAAAAAGGTCTAGATTCGCTTGTTGTGTATTTAGAGAATAAATCTATCACTCAATTCTTCTATTTTTTTCCCCTGGAAAAGGCAACTGGAGTCTAAAATGATGTAATACTATTGTAGAAGCCTTCATACAGCTTAATCTGCATGAGGTGTCTCAGTTTAAGGTAAATTCTAAGATTATTAGAGAAGCTGTTAAAGTCATAATGAGGTTTGCGACAGAACATGTAGGTTCGTGGCCCAGGAATGGCCAAGGCAAGGGTTAGCTTTTACAGAACAGCAGTCTTGCTTCCCCTCAAACCTGAGAACAAGACAAAGGTTATTTGCCTTCCAGACCGCTGGGGGGGGCGGTGTAGGCTGAAGCCAAAACCCAGGTCATGCAGACCATGTTTTATTTACAGCTTGCAGTTTTCTTACATTTAACCCGAGCACCTGAAACAGCCCTGGGAGGCTACTGGCTTTTGGAGTTCAATTGCTTTGCCCTGGGGTGGTCTTTCATCAGCTGATGGGTTGCAGACCGCTCTCCTTAGCAAGGCTCACGTAGCTTTTCAGAACTGTTGTCTCCTTTGGCTGATCATTGAGGAAACATGAACTACTCTTAGATGGCAGCATGGTATTTGTGCTCATTTCGTTCCGAAAAGAAAATGAACATGATAATATTTCGGCATAATCCATACTTGAAGCACAGAGTAAGGAAGACATG